AATAGCCTTGGGTGGGGCTGGAGGTTAGAAGGATATCACAGTAACCCTGAAAAGTGATGGTGGTGGCTTGGAGTAGGGTGGTGGCAGTGGAAAAGGTAGGAAGTGGTTGGATTCTGGATATATTTTCAGAAATAACACAGATAGGATTTGCTGATGGATTACATGTGGCGTGTAAGAGAAAGAAAAGAATCAACGTTGACATGAAAGTTTTTGGCCTGGGCATCCAGTGGAATGGAATTGTGATTTGCTGAGATGTGAAGGCTTGGAATTATGGGAAGAGCAGATTGACAAGAAAATTAAGAGTTTGTTTGAAATTTGTTAAGTTTGAGGGTTCTGGTAGATCACCAAGAGGTGATGTTGAGGTGTACTTGGAAAAGTCAACCTGGAGTTCATGGCAGAGGTTGAGGCTGCAGATGTTATTATAATTAAAAAAAAAGTAGATGGTGTTTTAAAACCATGAGACTGGGTGGGAACATCTGGGAGTGAGTGTAGACTGAGGAGAGATTTTAGGACTAAACTCTGGAGCACTGCACTGTAGGAGCGGAACCTAGAAAAGGTGGCGCCCCAAAGGCGGAGTGGCCAACTGTCCTGATTTATCTAGGACTGGGGAGCTTCCTGGTACATGAGACTTTCAGTGCTCAACCTGGAAGACTGGGACACACTTGGACAACTGGTCACCCTGCGTATAATGAAAGTGCTTCAAGGAGGGTGTGGCGCCTCCTGTCCTCTTTCCACCATCTTTCCCTGCTGCCATAATGGTGCACGTGAACGTCCTGGCTGAGGCTCTTAAGAGCATCTCTAATGGGAGAAGAGAAGCATATGCCGGGTTCTTATCAGGCCGTGCTCCAAAGTCATTGTTCAGATTCTAACTATGATGATGAAGCTGGTTATGATGGCAAATTTGAAATCATTGATGATCACAGAGCTGAAAAAATTGTGAACCTCACCAGCAGGTTCCAGAGGTGTGGAGTGATCAGCCCCTGATGTGACGGGCAACTTAAAGACCCAGAGAAGTGACAGAATCACCAGCTCCCTTCCCGTCAGTTTGGTTTCACTGTACTGATGACCTCAGCTGGCATCATGGACCATGAGGAAGCAAGAGGAAAACACACAGCAGGGAAAATCCTGAAATTCTTCTTCTAGGGATGTAATACATACAAATGAAATGCCTCAATGGACAAAAACCAAAACAAAACAAGGAGGGAGTGATCAACTGTGTCAAATGATGTAGACAAAGGAAGACTGAGCAACGGTGATGGGCTTGGCAACATGGAGGGCTTTGCTGACTCTGAGAAGGCTGGTCTGTCATGAGCAGCCAAGTAGACAAGCAGACACGAGGACCACCCCTCATGGGGGTAAACATGCCCAGGTGCAACACCAGTGGTCCTAGGAAACCTGCTCTTGAGATTAAGACTTTAGATAGTTTAGAGAACAGACTTTTCTTTTTTTGGTTCCTGGATGTCATTTGAATTTGCTGATAGGAACAGCTGCTTGGAGGCCTAGTTAACAATAATTGGGGTCTCCATCCACCTGCCAGTGACCAGACATTTACATCACATTTGGAATGGACAGCTTGCTGGGTTGTTGTTCTTGTGCAAATAGAACTGCTCCATAGGATTTTCCAAGCTGTGACCTTTTGGAAGCAAATCGACAATCCTGTCTTCTGAGGTGCCTCTGGGTGGGTTTGAACCGTCAACCTTTCAGCTAGTAGTGAGCATTTAACCATTTGCACCACCCAGGGACTCCTATAGAAGGGGTTGTTGTTGTTGTTAGGTGCCATCAAGTCGATTCTGCCTCATAATGACACCATGTGAAGGAGTAGAAGGGCCCCATAAAGTCTTCTTGGTTGTAATCTTAATGGGAGCAGATCACTAGGTCTTTCTCCTAAGGAACTGCTGGGTGAGTTTGAACAGCCAGCCTTTCCGTTAGCAGCTGAGCATTTAACCGTTGAGCCACCAGGACTCTTCTATGGAAGGGGTAAAACCCGTTGCCCTCGAGTCGATTCTGACTCATACCGACCCTGGAGGACAGAGTAGAACTGCCCCGTAGGGTTTCCAAGGATGTAATCTTTATGGAAGCAGACTGCCACATCTTTCTCCCGCGGAGCGACTGGTGGTTTCAAACCATTGACCTTTTGAGGGTGAGCAGCCAAGCACCTAACCACTTCACCACCAGGGCTCCGTGTATAAGGGGTGGCAAATTATTAAATGCCTACTGTGTGCAATGCTAGAACCGTACTCAATAATTCTATCATCACTGTTCGTATTTGCGGTCTGTTCAGTCTTAGGATATACGTATCCAGACCTCAAGAGTTTATGACCTTACGATCAACTCTGTATATTGCCCTCGGCACATGGCCACATGATTGGCACCTAACGGTGATCATCTGTTCTTTATCACAGTCTCCCCATCCCCGAAGGTGGCATTATTTCTGTGTGAGAATGTGGCAAACATCCCTGCCTCGTGGCTGACTGGAGCTCACACTCCATGAGAGTAGCTACCTGCTGTCCTCTGTAGCCTTAGCCCCTGACTCGGGGACTGGCATTTGCTAGACTGGCAGCAAATACCTGAAGAGCCGGCAAGAGAGAACAGTTAATGTCGCGGTGGTGAAGAACGTGAGCCTGCCTGGGTTTTCCTTCTGCACGGGCTGCCTTAGCTGTGTAACCCTGGGCAAATGACCCAAGTCTCCGGCCTTGATTTCCTCATCTGTAAATGGGGATAATAATAATGCCTGCCTCACAGAGTTCTGGTGAGGATGAACTGAGATCATGTGTATAATGACCTAGCTCAATTTCTTGCCAGGAAGTTAAACCAAACCATACCAGTTGCCCTCAAGTCAGCTCTGATTCATGGCAACCTTGTGTGCATCAGAGTAAAACTGTGCTGCATAGGGTTTTCTTTTTTTTTTTTAATTTTATTGTAATTTAAGTGCAAGTTTACAATTCAAGTTCGTCTCTCATACAAATATTTAAACATACATTGTCATGTGACCCTCATTGCTCTCCCTATACCGTGACAGCACACTCCTCCTTTCCACCCCGGATTTCCCGTGTCCATTCAAGCAGCTCCTGACCCTCTCTGCCTTCTCATCTCACTTCTGGACAGGAGCTGCCCGTTTAGTCTCATGTATCTACTTGAGCTGAGAAGCACAGTCTTCACGAGTTAATCATTTTATGTCCGATAGTCCAGTCTAATCTTTGTCTGAAAAGTTGGCCTCGGGAATGGTTTTAGTTCTGGGTTGACAGAGAGTCTGGCGGCCATGCTTTCTGGGGATCCTCCAGTCTCAGTCAGACCATTAAGTCTAGTCTTTTTACTAGAATTTGAGTTCTGCACCCTACTTTTCTCCTGCTCTGTCAGGGACCCTCTGTTGTGTTCCCTGTCAGGGCGGTCATTGGTGGTAGCCGGGCACCATGTAGTTCTTCTGGTCTCAGGCTGATGCAGTCTCTGGTTTATGTGGCCCTTTCTGTCTCTTGGGCTAATACTTTCCTTGTGACTCTGATGTTCTTCATTCTGCATAGGGTTTTCAATGGCTGGTTTTTTAGGAGTAGATCGCCAGGCCTTTCTTCCAAGGCACCTCTGAGTGGACTCAGACCTCCAACCTTTAGGTTAGCAGCCAAGTGCATTAAGCGTTTGCACCACCCAGGGGCTCCAATGACTCTAAATAGTCTGCTGTAAATGAATTCTTCATAGAGCTGCAATTATTACTGTTGTTGTTATACGGATCTACTTGATCTAAGTGATTCTTTTATTTCCTTAAGGCAGTGGTTCCTATGTCTTTGGAGTTGACAGGCAAGAAAAAATATTTTGTTTAATTGGCTATTGACGAAGAGTTGCCAACTTTTTTCCAACTAAAGAAAACTAAAAATTGTTATTAGTTGCCGTCGAGTCAGTTCCGACTCATAGTGACCCCGTGTGTGCAGAGCAGAACTGCTCCATAGGGTTTTCAAGGCTGTGACCTTTCAGAAGCAGATCGCCAGGCCTGCCTTCCGAGGCGCCTCTGGTGGGGTTTGAACCACCGACCTTTCAGTTAGCAGTCCACCGCTTAGCCATTTGTGCCCCCAGGGACTCTTAAAATACCGTCTACTTTATTATTATTATTGTGGTGAAAATTTGCAACAGGACATATGCCAATTCCACGCTTCATCTACTTCTGTTATTTCTTTTAACCTATCCCTCTCCCGTAGCCGAAGAGTAATCCTTTAGAGCGAGTGAATTCAGCCAGCCAAAGACTCAGCAGGTTGCTCTCAGTTTGCTCACTTAACTACCAAACCCACAGCCTTCAAGTCGAGTCCCACTCATAGCGACCCTATAGGACAGAATAGAACTACCCCCATAGGGTTTCCAAGGAGCGGCCGGTGGGTTCGAACTGCCGACATTTTGGTTTGCAGCCAAACTCTTATCCATGACACCACCAGGGCTCCTCACTTAGCTGCAGTCTGGCGGAAATTGCTTCCCGACCAGCAGCAGACCAGCGCTGGAGTCTCCCCTTACAGTCTTAGGCCCTGAGTCAGTTGAGCGTGGGCTGTGATTCCGTGTGAAGTGCATTAGGGAACTAACATGCCGGATCCCTCAGGCCAAAGGAAACATTGTGCATTGACACTCAGATGGACACTTGTGCGTTTGCCCACGTTTCTGGAAAACTGCACCCGCGCTGCGCTGTGTTTGGGCAAACATGGCCTCGGAGAGCTTTTGCAGGAGAAAATGTAAAAATTCTGCAAAGCTTTGTGATCCCATTTTGGATCTGCTCAGGATTTCTCATCAACATGCAATTAAGCAGAGAAAATTCGGCCCTGGGGTGTGATTTTAATCACTCATCGTGTGAGGACTTGACTCTGCTCTCTGCCTTTCTTTGCATTTCCATTCCACTGCCTCGGGTGTGACAGCTTGCCACCCTCCCCGAGGGAAAGGGAGAGTGAGGCCCCCCTCTACTCTTGCCTGAGAGCTGGCCTTTCCAGCTGCTCAGGGGGGGACCCCTTTGTCTCTTCTTTCCCCGCCCCCAGCCTCAGTTTTACGACCCTGTGGAGCCGGTGGACTTTGAAGGACTTCTCATGACCCACCTGAACAGCCTGGATGTGGAGCTGGCCCAGGAGCTGGAGGACTTCACCGATGACGACCCAGACGTGGTGTTCACGCCGAAGGAATGCAGGACCCTGCAGCCCTCCTTGCCGGAGGAAGGGTGAGTCGTTTTCTTAAAATGTGGGCAGGCTAGCGGATGTCCTGATGGTCGTCAGTAAGGGGGTTGCTAGCTGCAGTCAGGTCGGCCCCTGACTCACGGTGACGCTGTGCAGAATGGGACAAAACGCTACCTGGTCCCATGCCATCCCCATGGTGGGTTGGGAATCAGACCATTGCGATCCATAGGGTTTTCACTGGCTGATTTTCAGAAGTAGATCTCCAGGCCTTTCTTCCTGGTCCATCTTAGTCTGGAAGCTCCCCTGAAACTTGTTCAGCATCCTAGCAACACCCAAGCCTCCACTGACAGACGGGTGGTGACTGCACGTGAGGTGGACTGGCCCGGCATTGAACCCCGGTTTTCCGTATGGAAGGGGAGAATCCTAACAGGTCTCCTTTTAAAAGTAAACAAAGCCGACGTTGTTAGTTGCTGTCAAGTCGATTCTTCCGAGGTCCCCCTGGGTGGGTTCAAACCGCCAGCCTTTCCTTTAGTAGTCAAGCGCTTCAACGTTTGAACCACCCCAGGACTCCAGACAGAATTACTCAGATCCATTAAGATATGCACACGTGGTCCAGTCGTCTCATGCAGGTAGTTTGTAAAACTGATTTGGCCAGAGACTTTGAAGAGCTGTGTGAGGACTATGCCAGTTAAAGGGATCCAGTGTCCAGAATGCAGTTCTAGAATGCAGGCTGTGGAGCCACGCTGCCCGGGCCGGTCACCAGCTCCTGACCTTGAGTGAGTCACTTGACCTCTCCAAACCTCAGTTTCTCCATTTGTTATCACGTCAAGGTTTCCAGTAATGATCATTGGAACGCCAGTATCCAGAAGCATTTTAGCTGTTTCCAAGTAAGAGACTGGATCAAGTGGTAAATGTAAGTTTGACACACATTATTGAGCGTCCACTATGTGCTGGGCACTCAGTTAAAAGATGAATAAGGCAAAGTCCTAGCCCTTGAGGAAGGTTTTGCCTGATGGAAAAGCGACAAGGAAAAGCTCTGTAGAGTGACTACATGAACAGCTGTTTAGGATTTGAGTTTCTGTAGCCACTTCGTCTAGGTGTTCATGGGTGTGCGCATCAGCTGTCGGGACCAAGCAAGGGAATTAGATCTAAATGAAGTTCTGTTGCTTCCATAGTATAAAGCCTAATGTCTTTTTGGAGGTCTAGGGTGAACTTTTAAGGATCCCTGGTGGTGCAGTGGTTAAGCACTCAGCTGCTAACCGAAAGGTCGGCAGTTTGAACCCACCAGATGCTCTGTGGGAGAAAGATGTGGCAGTCTTCTTCCGTAAAGATTACAGCCTTGGAAACCCCATGGCAGTACGAGTCGGGATTGCCTTGACAGCAATAGGTTTGGTTTTGGCTGGGTTAGGGTGAACTTTTACTTGCGTTTATTATATAAACATAATTAAGACACACATCCTCTTGGGCATTTTCATTTTTCTTATCTTCCCCAAAAAGTCCCAGAAAGGAGATCTTGAAACACAGCCCTGCCCTTACTACTCTGAGATACTCTTCTTCTACTTTGGACTGTTTCTTCCCAGTGTAAGGAGGTTGAATGATGGTGATTAGCGATTAGGATGAGCTTTTCTTCTCTTGTTCAGATAGTTGTCATTCACACAGGAGGGAATTTTTCATGATGAAGGTGCTGGCCTTTTATGCTCAATTCTAACATTTTGAAAATACTCACTTCCCAAAAAACAACAACAAAAAAAGAAAAAATTGTCATCCTCGGGAAACATTTTTCTCTGTTGTTGGTCCATTTATTCAGGCGTGACTTTAGTATATCAAAAACCCGACCCATTGCCATGGAGTCGATTCGAACTCACAGCGACCCTGTACTGTAGGACAGAGTAGAACTGCTCCCTGGGGTTTCCAAAACAGAAATCTTTACAGAAGCAGACTGCCACATCTTTCTCCCACGGAGCGGCTGGTGGGTTCAAACCACTGACCTTTTGATGAGCAGCCAAACGCTTAACCACTGCGCCACCAGGGCTTCTGCGACTTTAGCATAGGTAACGTCTATTATTTTCACCCATGGTAGAGAATCATTTAATTTTTATTTCTTTGTGTAAAAACGTATGGTTAGTTGTCTTCAAAGGTGATCGGAATCTTGGAAAACCCCTTTTAAAGTACTTGCGGTGAATTTCGTTGTAGGGGGATATTTTTTGAAAATTGAAAGAGGAGGTAATTTTTTTGTTACCATCAGTTTTTGGAGCATAATATGATCCTGTCACCAGAATTTATAGCTAACACAGTATCTTTCCGGTGACTTTAAAACAACCTCGACTGCTTTAATTATTAGCAAGAAGTCCGGTGTATAGTTAAGCGCAGAAAGTGCTGTTTTGTGATCTGAGTAAGCAATAGGTGTCTCCTGCTGGGTAGTCTGTACCTGGGCCAGATTGTCATCGAGCTGCCATAGTGCAGTGGTTAAAAGCATGGACTCCAGAGCCCAGCTGCCTGAGTTCAAGGCCCTGCTCTACCGCTTGCTAGCTATATGGCCTCGGGCATCGTGTACTTCTGCAAAGTGAGAATAATAATGGCGCCTACCCGAGAAGGCTGATAGAGCATTAATTGAATTTCGCATGTATAAGGTGATTAGATCAGTGCCTAAACGGAAAAACGAAACCCGCTGCCATCAGGTCAATTCCGACTTATAGCAACCCTATAGGACAGAGTAGAACTACCTCATAGGGTTGTCCAAGGACCAGCTGGTGGATTTGAACTGCCTACCTTTTGGTTAGCAGCTGAGCTCTTAACCACCGCGCCACTAGGGCTACATCAGTGCCTACCTGTTGCCATCAAGTCAATTCCAACTCATAATGACACTATAGAACAGAGTAGAACTGCCCCATAGGGTTTCCAAGGAGCGGCTGGTGGATTTGCTAGTGCGTAGTGAATGATATGTGTCAGCTGTCAATATTACCAGCTGCCATTGAGTGATTCTGACTCACTGCAACCCCATGTGTGTCCGAGTAGAACCGTGCTCCACAGGGTTTTCAATGGCTGATTTTTTGGAAGCAGACAGGCAGGACTTCCTTTAAAGTTGGCTGTAGGCGGACTCGAATCTCCAACCTTTAGGTTTGCGGCTAAGTGCGTTAACCGTCTGCACCCCCCAGGGACTCTGAACTACCGCATATATAGATTTTCTAATGTGCCAGTCACTCTTCTAAGCCCCTCACATACTGATTTATTTAATCCTTAGCACAATTCTGTAAGGTAGGCAGTCCGTTATTAATATCCCTACCTTAAGATGGAGAAACGGAGGCAAAGAGAGGCTGAGTGACTCGCGTAAAGTCCCAGAGCTGGTAAGTGATAGAACTGGGCTTTGGGCAGTCAGGGCCCAGAGGCCACCTCATTAACCTCTATGATGTCTTATCTAATGCTGTCAGCAATCCCACAGGTGGGTACTGCTCTGATCCCGATTTTATGAGCGAGAAAATGAAGACTTCTAGCATGTAGGCCTGTTTAACTCTAGTAGCAGCACGATTACAGGTGACAGCAAAAAGCTTTGCTGTTGTTGTGGGCCATCGAGTCAATTCTGACTCAGAGCAACCCTGTAAGACAGAGTAGAACTGCCCCACAGGATTTCCTAGGCTGTAATCTTTATGGGAGCAGATCGCCAGCAGAATATCTCAGAGTGATAACGGTAGGGCTTTGTTTTGCTGTGGAGCTGCTGGTGGGTTCCAACCACTGACCTTTTGGTTAGCAGCCGAGAGTTTAACCACTGTGCCACCAAGGCTCCTGTAAAAAGCTTTGCTACTGCGGGAAATTAGTTACTTCTGATTTCTAGACTCGGAAGCAGCAAAAGTACCTCTCATGCGGGCTCACATCTGAACAGGTATGACATGAACTACCTGATTTAATCATCTCCAATCCAAGCCAGCGCCTGCTAACTCCACAAAGAGGCAGGCAGCTGTACTTCTTCGTGACTTCCCAAAAGCAGAATATGCATGTCCTAACAAGGCTACCCATGAACATAAAATATTTCCAAATTACCCTTGGGAGAAGTATGTATTCATACTCCCTTTCTTTGTCTTGTATTTGATTGTGGCAAGTACGACCTGTCTTGTGTCAGAATGCCTTAAGGGACAGGTAATGTTTAACTCCGTTCTCTCTAATAAAGAAAACCCACAAAGCATAAAATGCCAGCATTTTGTCTCATCAAACTAAATTTCTTGTTGCCTCGGAAATACTTCAGAAGCTTGATAGAGCTTTGACATCATATTGCTGTCCTTGGACATGATAAGGGTAATTTTGCATTTTGGAGTCCCTGGGTTTTGCAAATGGTTAATGCCCTTGGCTGCAAGCCAAAACATTATAGGTTGGAGTCTACCCAGAGGTGCCTCGGAAGAAAGGCCTTACAATTTTTACTTCCCCCAGATCAGTCATTGAAAATCCTGTGGAGCACAGCTCTACTCTGACTCACGTGGGGTTGCCGTGAGTCGGAATTGACTCAATATGGTTTTTTTTGGATCAGTAATAACATGTTTTTATTTCATTTTCATCTCCTTAGGGTTGAACTGGATCCTCATGTCCGAGACTGTGTTCAGACCTATATTCGGGAGTGGCTAATCGTGAACCGGAAGTAAGTCACATTTTAACATAAAGGAGTAGAACCTTTTTGTTTCGTTTTCATTCGGATGAATTCCCTAAAGGGGAGAAAAAAATAAATGAATTGAAACTTGGCCTCAGATTCAAAAGTAACGTTTAAATTTGTGACCAAGAAATAAATTACCTAAAAAAAAAAGAAAGAAAGAAATTACCTGCTACCCTTCCAGTTAGAAGGGGCTTTCTCTCCTGGATTCGTGGAATGTTCTAGAACACTGTTCTCAGCGGTTTCCTGCCTCCACGCTACTGAGCTGAACAGCCCTTCCTCATGAGAAACATCTGTTGTTGTTAGCTGCCCTCGAGTGGGTTCCGACTCATAGCGACCCTGTAGGACAGAGTAGAACTGCCCCATAGGGTTTCCAAGGAGCAGCTGGTGGATTTGAACTGCCGACCTTCTGGTTGGCAGTCGAGTTCTTATCTATGCCACTGAAATTCTCAACCTGTACATGTGTATGTGCTGGGGGACTGGGTGGAGAGTGTCTAGAGAGAGGCAGGTATACCTCACTAGAGAAAGGTCTAGGAACCTTCGACAAGACCTGTGTAGTTTGAAGAAACCCCGCCCTTTTGAAATTCTGATAGGCTTGTACCTCCTACACTCTAGTAAGAATTACTGTTCTATGGGGTAAACGATTGTAATACAAAAGACTTTGGGGATTAGATTTTATCCAGCCCCTGGAAGTATGTCATGGAATTTATGCTGCTTTTTTTTTTTTTTTTTTTTTTTTGAGTAGTGTCATTATGTATAGTGTTTTCAGTAGCCAAGAAAGAGAGAACATAGCTTGTAAAAAGTAATTAAGAGAAGAGGAGTTTAGATGCTGATCCATCATCTTTCTAACGCGAACGGAAAACTAAGCCAGCCAGGCGGTCCATAAGATTCTGCTTTGCTCGTAAGACAAGACTCCAGAACAAGTTGTTCTCAAGCTTTTAGCTGTTATAATTAGAGGTACTTTCTGGCTACTAAGGTTCTAAAAAAATCTGAGAAGGAACAATAAATAGAAAGGTCCATTTCACTATATTTGGTTTTCAGATTTATTTTCTATTTGGGACACACACTTTTCCGTTCCCCATGGCAATGCAAGTCCGCTGGAATATTCTTTTTTCTCTATCTTGCACACGAAAGAAAGGAGGGAAGGGAGAGAGGGAGGGAGGAGGAAGAAAGAAGGGAGGAAGGAAGGAAAGAAAAGACTTTTTTTTAGAATACTCATTGTAGAAATTTTAGAGATTATAGGAAACAGAAGAAGATAGATGACCCCCGTTAACGTTTGGTGCATCGGCTTTGAGCTGTATTTCTTTGTATATATATTTGTAAATCAGGTTATAATACTGTTTTGTAGCACGCTTTTTCAATCTTCACAGAAGTGATGATTTTCTCTCTTCGCTATTACCGTATTTTTCGCAAATAATGCACCCACGTAGAGAACACACCCACAAATATGCCATGCATAACATGGAAAATAACATGGAAGGGGATTGTGCAGTAGGCGCAAAAATATAACACGTGTGTTATTTGCATAAAATACAGTACGTATTCTTCTTCAACATAATTTTAAATGGATGCATTCTATATTTGTACCAAAATGTATTCAATCATTTTTAATATTTAGGTGGTTCCCTGTTTTTCATCGTTTCAGTGTTATATCCAAATACTGCAACATCCTTTTAGCTAAAAGGATGCTATGGGCACACCTGTGATTTTTTTCCTTTGGAATAAATTTGTATGAGAGGAATGTCTGTTTCTAATGGTATGCACAGATTTAAGGATTTGGCAATAACATATCAGAAGGATTATTAACCATAGCCACATGAATTCTCAGGAATCTTAAAATTTCCAATTCTGTTTGTGGAAAAGGGTGACTTTCAGTGTTGATTTCCATTTTCTTTGATTATTAGATTGGACCTCTTTTTTTTAGGGTTGTATTTTCTTAATTGTGCTTTAGATGAAGGTTTACAGAGCAAATTAGTTTCTCATTAAACAATTAATACACATATTGTTTTGTGACATTGGTTGCCAGCCCCACGACATGTTAACATTCTCCCCTTCTCGACCTTGGGTTCCCCATTGCCAGCTTTCCTGTCCTTTCCTGCCTTCTCGTCCTTGCCCCTGGGCTGGTGTGCCCATTTAGTCTCCTTTTGTTTTATGAGCCTGTCTAATCTTTGGCTGAAGGATGAACCTCAGGAGTGACTTCAGTACTGAGTTGAAAGGGTGGGAGATTGGAACTCTTATGCACTGCTGGTGGGAATGTAAAATGGTGCAACCACTATAGAACACAATATGGTGTCTCCTTAAAAAACTGGAAATAGAAATACCATACGACCCTGCAGTCTCACTAAATATCATTAGTTATTAGGGAAATGCAAATCAAAACGAAAATGAGCTACCGTTTCACACCTCCTTAGATGGCTATAATCAATCAACCAGTCAATAAAGGGAAAACAACAAGTGTTTTCCAGGATGTAATGAAACTGGAACCCCTGTATATTGCTGATGGGAATGCAGAATGGTGCAGCCACTGTAAAAAAAAAACAGTTTAGGGGCTTCTGAAAAAGTTAAACATGGATTATCATATGACCCAGCAATTCTACTACTAGGTATATACTCAAAAGAATTGAAAGCAGGGACTCAAACAGATACTTCACACCAATGTTCATTCAGCACTATTCACAGTAGCCAAAAAGTGGAAACAACCTAAGTGTCCATCAACAGATGGATAAACAAAATGTCGTCCATCTATACAATGGAATATTACTCAGCCATAAAGAGAAAGGAAGTCCTGATACATGCTGTGACGTGGATATCTTTAAAAACTTTATGCTAAGTGAAATAAGTCAGACACAAAAAGACAAATATTGTACAATCCTATTTATACGAAAAATCTATAATAGGCAAATTCATAGAGATAGAAATAGATTAGGGGTTACCAGGGGCTGAGGAGAGGGAGGAATAAAGAGTTATTGGCGTTTCTGTTCAAGGTGATGAAGAAGGTTCAGAAATGGATAGTGGTGAAGGTTGCACAACATTGTGAATGTAATTGATATCACTGAATTGTACACTTTCAGATGCTTAAAATGGCAAATTTTATGTTACATATATTTTACCACAATATAGTTAAACAAGTAACAATACCAAGTGCTGACAAGGTAGTGGAGCAACTGGAATGCTCATGCATTGTGTTGGGAATGCAAAATTGTAAAGCCACTTTAGAAAAAAAAATTGGTAATTTCTTGTACAGTTAAATAGCACTTACCACGTTGTTGTTTTTTTGCTGTAGGGTCAGTTCTGACTCGTAGCGACCCCATGTGACAGAATAAAACTGCCCCAATAGGGTTTTCTAGGCTGTAACCTTTACAGGAGCAGATCAACAGGTCTTCTCTCCCATGGAGCCACTGGATAGGTTTGAACTGCCAACCTTTCAGTTAGCAGCCAAGCACTTAACCATTGCGCCACCTTAACCATACCACCCAGAAATCCCACTCCTAGTTATTTACCCCAGTAAGATAATAGACAAATTATGTGAGTCTATGTTCACATAATAACCTGTATGTAAATGTTTCCCAAACTGGAAACAGCCCAGAGTACTCAGTTGGGGCATAGATAAACTGTAGTACACCCATGCAATGGAACAGCACTCAGCAATAAAATGGAACGAGCTGTTGATACACACAACAGCATAGATGACCGTCATTATGAATAAATGGCATTATGCTAACTGAAAAAAGCAGCCAGACACAGGAGACCACATGTTGTATGATTCCGTGTATACGACCTTCTGGAAAAGGCAAAGCTGTAGAGACGGGGCCTGGGGTGAGAAAGTAGACTGCTAAGGGGCATGGGAGAATTTGGGGAGTGCTGGGACTGGACTAGATCTTCATGGGGTGGTGGTTGCATGACTGTTTACATGTGTCAAAAAAGACGGACGATAACTGTACCTCAAAAACAACGGATAGAAATCTAGGCTAGTGCCTGGCGTTAAGTAATGGCTTGTTAAGTGTAAAATCTACATCTCTGCCGTGGTTTATTGCACTGTTTTATAGCATGATCGTTTTCCTGGAGCAGGGTTTGTTAGTTGCCGTCGAGTAGATTCTGACTCATGGTGACCCCACGTGTGCAGAGTAGAACTGCTCCACAGGGTTTTCAAGGCTGTGACCTTTCAGAAGGAGGTTGCCAGGCCTGTCTCCTGTGATGCCTCTGGATGGATTTGAACTGCCAGCCTTTCAGCTAATAGCCCAGCGCTTAACCATTTGCACCACCCAGGGAGCTAGAGTAAATGGATTGAAATCCTGACTCCACCACTTACTTACTGTGTGATCCAAGGCAGATGATTTCTTTGTGCCTCAATTTTCTCATCAGGAGAATAGGAATTAGAACAGTACCAATGTAATGAGTTTTGTGTCCAAAAAATAAATTAACATGTGTAAAGTGTTTAGAATATTTCCTGGCATATGGTGATAACTCAATAAATATTAGCTACTGTTCGTGCTGTTTATTAAATAGAGTTAAAGAATATGGCTCAGTTGTCCCTGCCCAGTTGGCAAATAATTTAGGCCAGTTAGTAAGACATCCTATGCAGGGGAAAAAAAAATGAGACAACGCAACGTTGCTGAAAATTTCTTTTAATTTAATGATTCAGAGTAGATTTCACATCAAGGCATTTGTGTAGCCATGGAATAAAGATAACGTTTGAAAAATCATTAAGACTTACACTTTAGGTCTTACCTAGTTTCAATTCAACCTATCCAACCTATTTTTTTTTTCCAAGTGAAATAAGATCTGAAGGCTTCAGAAAAGGCCTTTATGTTAGCATGTCAAAGGAATCAACCCAAAACTCTACCCCATGTATTTTAATGCCCCATGGAAAAATACCCCTGGTAATTTGTATAACGGCTTTTCTCTGGAGGACCATGGTTAATGAAGCCGCTTTGCCTTCGATGAACATGTCTGTGTCATCCAGAACCAGGCAGTCAAAGACTGATTTATTTAGCTCTTTTATTTCCCCATTATCTCCTTGCTGATATTACATTTCTCTATCATATCTAGGGACTCACTTTTATATCCTTGCTGTCTGTGATAATGACTTTGGATCCCACTTAGGGGGCAGAGGAGCAGAGTAATGGGCAATTGTGTTCTCTCCCCCTCCCATAATTCTACAAGATATTTGCCACTCAAGTTTTATAATTGAGACTTTTAAATCAGACCAACCATGCTGCCCATGAAGGGTAGAGGCATGTTTTAGATTTTCTTGTTAACTCAACAGAGAAAGATTAAACGACAGAAAAACACAAAATACATGATCTCCTTTTAGGGGAAATTTATGTTCCTTCTTGACGTATTTGTCTGTATGACTTAGACTGAAAGGTTCTTTTCCCTTCTATCTTCATGTCTATGGCATCAACTTTGATGTCTGTGCTCTACAAATAATAGTAATACTCTCTCCGTGACTTTGGAAAATGATCCTTGGTCTAATGAGTAGAATGGTGTCGTGATTGCTTGTGTATCTCATCTTATTTCCATGTAGTTGGATAATTTTGTGTAGATTGAAATTTGGTGGCATCCTTTGCGTGACATTGCATATTTTAAGTATTATTTCCTCCGTCATTTTCTCTGAATGAACCAAAGGCTGATTAACTTCAGGACGTTCTTGAAGTCTTGGTGGAGGGCTGAACTCTTAAGTGGTGAGACTTGTTTATATGCTGTTTATTCTTGGAGTATTATCCACAGCGACAGTGAAAACATTTCATGAATGTCATGGGCAGCATCATAAAAGCCCATGGACTTTTTCATCCCAGATGATTAAGCTAATTCTGTGGGAAGGTCATGCTCAAGGAGAGCTGGGATATCAAGGAATGAGGTATCATCTGTTTTATGACTCCATCTTTTACTCCCAGTGAACTGGTAAACAATTAAAATTCAAACACATCAGTGCATATAATTCAGTTACTCCCAAAACACCATAAAAATGTCTCCCTGATCAATAATTGCTTATTATGACAAGCAGTGGTTGTGCTGGCTGTCAAGGTGCTTAGTGGTTTGCTTTCTAGAAGTCTGGAAAGCAAGCCAGTCTTGTCCATCTCTGTAGTTACGAGGAGCCAGCCAGCCGTGGACATCACTGAGCTGCTCTAGACCTGTCGTGCACACGCTCATAGTCACCACGAGTCCACGTCCATTAAGTCCCAACTGAAATGCCGAAACTCTAACAAAGCCTTCCCTGACCTGGCCGGCAGTGATTGATCTCTTCTCCCGATTTGCAAGTCATAACTGCTTGTATTTCTCTTTGAAGCTCTTGCCATGCTCTACATTAAATTGGAATCACTTGTCTGAATGGGATCGCCCCTGCTAAATACGTGAATTTTCTCACTTTATTTAGGACAGGGACTCCGTTAGACGTGGGATGCTTGTGTGTCCCTATCTGTTCCTCTTCAGCGCCTTAGTCTCGGAGAATGAGTGAAACCAGGCCCGGATAACTCCTCCCGCCATTTGCGTTCTGATTCCCCAGGCAGCCCTTCTAAATAGATACTCTCTCCCTGGGTGGTGCAAACAGTTAACACACTCGGCTACTTAACCTAAAGGTTGGAGGTCCGAGTCCACCCAGAGATGCCTCAGAAGAAAGAGCTGGCAATCTACTTCCAAAAAATCAGCCGTTGAAAACCCCGTGGAGCACAGTTCTACTCTGACACATATGGGGTCGCCATGAGTCGGAGTTGACTTGATGACAGCTGTTTTTCCACCTTGTTTGGGCTTCCTCTTCCCGTTCTTGGGCTACCCTGTCTCCCACCCCAGGCATGGATGGCTGCCTTGTTTTGATGCACCTTATGCCTTTAGGACCAATTTGTGTAGGAAGGGAAGAGGAAAAGGAATAGGAAAAATCATAGGGAACAAGCAAAAAGAAGAAGAACATGTGTTACTATCTCATCCTCACAATAGCCCTTTGCAATCAGCAGTGCTTCTCCCATTTCACACTTGAGGAAACTGTGGCTCCGAGAAGTTAAGTAACTGCCTGACCCACCACACTGCCTCTAACGAGAATGCTCTCACAGTATGTCTGGTCTCTGTGTTGTCCCCAAATGTACGAGAATCTGGAGAAAAGAAACGTCATTCTCCTGCGAAGCAATAGGTTGTGTTCATTTCATGAGTAGCTTGTCCACCACTTGGCCTACTTCCCCGTCTTCCTCTTGTCTCTGAAGAGGCTTGACGGGAACTTGGCCGTATTTGGCACAGATGCCAGGGTGGGGTACTGAGGCTGGGGCTTCTGTCACCAGGGGCGCCCAGCCAGGGATCTCGCTACCCACCACATCGTGGTTCCTGTTTTTGGTGGCTGGCAGTTGTGAAATGAGTCCTCTGTTCCTGCTTGCTAGCCCTTGTGCTCTGCTCCCAGCCACCTCTGCCCTAGCTGCCGCAGGCGGGGAGCTCTGCAACTTTCTGAGATTTTCAGTGGGGAAGTAGCCACGAAATCTAGAATGAGGAGGGGAAGTTTGCTCTGGTTTCAGACATACAAAGCTATGGAAGACGCCAGTCTGAATGCTTTCCAGAACAAAAATCCTGAGGCTGGTGTATATAGAGGTTAAAAAAAAAAAGCCCACTCATGGCGACCCCCTGTGTGTCAGAGTAGAATTGTGCTCCATCAGGTTTTCAATGGCTGATTTTTCAGAAGTTGATCACCAGGCCTTTCTTCCGAGGTGCCTCTGGGTGGACCCGGACCTCCAACCTTCTGGTTAGCAGCTGAGCGAGTTCACCATTTGCAGTACCCAGGGGATTCCATATATAGGTTAGAGTGTATATACTGTGAAGTGAACTTTTAATAATATCCTGTAACTAATTTTTTTAAATGAGGAATAGTACATGTGCTGATTTCTGTAGTTATTACTTGGCCACTTAGGTCAGTTACCTTTTCTAGAATGTTCTAATTTCATTCTCCAGGGGAACACGCTAGACATTATATTTTAATACCCTTTCCATAGCTACACGTTTTTTAAAACACAACTTTCACTAAAGTTCACAGAGTGTAGATCGAGAATGTCAGCAAAGATCTTTTGGTGGCTAAATCATTGATTTCTGCTTTTCCTTAACCATGCCCGTCCTTTTTTATTCATTTTGTAAGCACATTGCTGTGCAGATGAAATGCTTTCCTCTATTTTTATCTTCAAACGATCTTTATTTGCTGCTTCTGCACGCTGCTGGATTTATCCCAGCCTCTTACACGCTCTGGCTTGCAGCCAGATGCCCCCCAGCTGATTGGCCGCTCCCCTGGGTGGCGTCTTCCCAGGCCAGTCCTGCCTTTACTAACAGGCCAGCCGAGAGGCCAGCTTGTATCTTGTGACAACAGGGCCTTGTAGTAGCCCCGTTGCATAATGAGACGTGAGGATTTATAATTGGTCCTCTCTCTGCGAGCGCTTTCAGCCCCAAGTCCAGACTTAAGCCATTGCTTTCATGTTGCAGCTAATGGTTTTGCGGGTCTCTCTCTCATCTCTGTCTCTCTTTACAAATCGAATAATAACAACCATGGAAGAAACCAAGGAAGCCCAGAGACGTGCAGGTTTAAGAAGACTGGATCCCGCAAAGATTTTCACAAGACGCTGCAGAAGCAGACGTTTGAGTCGGAGACTTTGGAGTGCGCTGAACCCAGTGCTCAGGTACTTCGGTCTACACGGGGTCACCTGGCTTAGCTGGTACCTGCGGGGTTCTGCCCCGGGCAAGCTGTCGACTTGTTTTTAACTGGAATAAAGGATAGTCTCACAGAATGTTAGGAGAGGAAGAGAAACTCTGCCATCTGAGTCAGTGATACCTATTTCCTGAACTTGTTTATAGCTACAGAAACGGGTGTTCGCTGAAAACCCAGAAGCTCAGTAAGTAAAGTAGATGAAAGTGGAGAGGATCTAATTGATGGGGCGGGCACATCAGGCCCATCTCTATAACAATCCCTGCAGAAGCTCCGTGGGGTCCCGAAGGCAGGATGTTGTTGTTGGAGCCACTGGTGGATTCCAACTTCCAATTTTTGGGTTAGCAGCCCAGCACTTAACCACTGTGCCACCAAAAACCAAAAATCTGTTGCCGTTGAGTTGATTCCAACTCTTAGCAACCCTACAGGACAGAGTAGAACTACCCCACAGGGTTTCCAAGGCGATGATCTTTACTTTACGGAAGCAGACTGCCACATCTTTCTCCCATGGAGAGGCTGGTGGGTTTCAACCGCCGACCTTCTACTTAGTAGCTGAGTGCTTAACCACTGCACCACCAGGGCTTCAAAGTAACAACTGGGCGGTATTGTTGTTGGATGCTGTCCAGTCGATTTCCGACCCATAGGAACCCCATGTGATGGAGTAGAACTGCCCCATAGGGTTTTCTAGGCCGTAATCTTTATAGAAGCAGATCACCAGGTCTTTCTCCTACACGGAGTCACTGCCGACCTCTGCAGTTAGCAGCCAGGTGCTTAACCACTATGCTACCAGGCCTCTGCAGAGGAATTAAAAGCCAGGCTCTGAGGCCAGTCTGCCCTGGTTCTCTTTGCAGCTATGCCACATGCCAACACTATAACCTCAGGCAAGTTCCTTAGCCCCTTGTGCTCCCATTTCCCCCCCGGAAAACATGGTAATTATAGTAACTGGATTGTCCATCAAATCGATTCCACTTCTCAGGTTCAGCTCCACTTTGATTCTGACACCAACTGAGCAAGCTCAGTCGATCCAATTCCAATTCAGCTGCACCTGCAGCACTTCTTCCCTGACCCTGGCCACCCGGAGCTCTGTCAGACCTCACAAGCTAAAGGGCACTGTCCTCCAGACTGCCAGGTCAGACCAGGGCTTTGAACCGGTTCTTTCGGTTCAGTCATGGCTGATGAAGCAAAACCAGAACAGACCCTAATGTTTCCAATTTGGGTGCTCTGGGACGGTAACTGGAACAGGAAAAATCATGAGTCAAAGCCCTGGAATGGGAGACTCAGAAGAGGCATAGTGATGCAGGAGACTGGATTATTGGCAAGACTGCAGACAGCGACTAACATTCAAAGCAGTGCAGTATGCTGCCATCTCTGAGCAGGGCAGTACTGTTTCTGACTCTGCTCCAAATCCAAGGGGCAAGAGATTTGGTTGCTATGCAACATGTACACTGCCTTTGTTTTCTAAGAAGGCAATTAGCTTTCTAGCAGGGCTTTGAAGTGTAATTTTGTCCGTTCTGGTTTCCATTCTGGAGCGCCCAAATTATAAACATTAGGGCCCGTTCCGGTTTTGCTTCCTTGGCCATGACTGAACCGGGAAGAACCGGTTTGAAGCCCTGCTTTAGATGCCAGTTGCAAAATTGGGGGTCCCCAGGGCCCCCTCACCTCTGACCTGCTGGCTCCCACTGCTCACTCAGGTTCAGTAATTTACTAGAATGACGCACAGAACTGAGGGAGGGACTGTATTTAGGATTATAGTTTTTACTATAGCAAAAAGGATACAAATGAAGACACCCAGAGGGTGATGTCAGGAAGTGTTCCCTGTGCAGAGCTCCATGTCCCAAAAGGGGATGCACTACCTCCCATATGTATTGTTGATGTCTATCACCAACCAGGAAGCCCATGGGACTTCCACGTCCAGAGCCTTGATTGTTGTTGTTGGTTGCTTTCAAGTCAGTTCTGACTCATGGCGGCCCCATGTGTGCAGAATAGAACTGTGCTCTATAGGGTTTTCAAGGCTGCAAACCTTTGGAAGCAGATCCTCAGGTCTTTCTTCTGAGGTTCCTCTGGGTGGGTTCCAATCATCAGCCTTTCGGCCAATAGTCAAGTGCTTAACGGTTTGTGCCACCCAGGGACCCTGAGCCTTTATTAGGGCCTCATTATGTAGATATGGAGCCCTGATGGCGAAGTGGTTAAGAGCTTGGCTGCTAACCAAAAGGTCAGGAGTTCAAATCCACCAGCCGCTCCTTGGAAACCCTGTGGGGGCAGTTCTACTCTGCCCTATTGGGTCGCTGTGAGTTGGAACGGACTCGATGGCAACGGGTTTTGTTGGGTTATGTAGACATGATTGACCGAATCGCCCCTCTACCTTCCCCTGAGGCCAGGCTGATATCATGAGGGAAGAGGTTGGAGTTATCGGAACCTAGAATCTCAGAAGAGAGGAGGAGGCACATCCAAGGAGGAGGAATTGCCCTGTTGGTATTGGTACCTCCAAGGCAAGTGCCAAAAGCAGTTCAATTCATTTTCCCCAAGCACTTACGAATTCTAAGCCAGACAAAAGTATTAATAATTTAGGTATTAACATTGATTATTGCTAGCACATTCAGTTTAGGTCAAATTTATGATCTAGTAGATTAGCACTTGTATGAGTAGATACATGCCACAAAAATAAGTGTGTAGTGTGTAAAAATGTGCAATAGCACGTCCACTTAGTAAGGCTTCAAGAATAGCATGTTAGTGTAAATTGTATAGATGTTTACAATTGATCCACCTATATTCTTAGAGCATATTGAATATAGTTATTTGTTCTTTGCCAAATCTTCGGTTAGGTATGCCATTTCCCAGTACCAAGACATTCCCAAGAGAACAAGTCTACTATATGACTGATTTAAGTTGAGTTTTTTAAAGACACATTCCAGCTAAAAGAGGATACTGCTGAAAGAACTAATGCCCCCCTCCCACTTTCCTTCTCCTTTTTCAGGGGTGGGGAGGTGCTTGTTCCGGTAAGAGTTACTGAAGTCCTGTAGGGAAGATTCCCCAAGCCGCCTCTCTGTCTTCGCTGTTGTTGTTAGGTGTCATCAAGTCGGTTCCGACCCATAGCGACCCTACGCACCGCAGGACAAAACACTGCCCGGTCCTGCACCATCCTCACAATTGTTATACTTGAGCCCATCGTTGCAGACACTGTGTCAGTCCATCTCGTTGAGGGTCCTCTTCTTTTCTGCTGACCCTCTTCATTACCAAGCATGATGTCCTTCTCCAGGGACTGGTCCCTTCCTGTCTTTGGAAGCATAATATTCAGCTTTAGGGTTTATATAAGGTTTAATTTGGAAGGGTCCTCAGTGGTGATCTTACAGTTTGGAAACCAAGTTCAGGAGTTGAGGTTAGCATGGGGTCTCTTCCTGCTCAGTTCAGCCTCTTTATCTTTCTTGCCCCCTACTCCCTCTCTACCTACTTGAGCATGAGACATGAGCATGGTTGATAAGACACTTGGCTGCTAACCTCCAGAGAAGAACAAGGCCCAAACTCATTGGAACACAGTGCTGTTTTCAAATGTTTCCTCAAAGACTGGCTTCCGTGCATCCAAGGAGTACCAAACCAAACCAAACCCTTTGCCATCAAGTCGATTCCAACTCATAGTGACTCTATAGGACAGAGTAGAACTGCCCCATAGGGTTTCCAAGGAGCGCCTGGTGGATTCGAACTGCTGACCTTTTGGTTAGCAGCCAAGCTCTTAACCACTGTGCCATCAGGGCCCCATCTGAAGAATAGGAAGGAGATACTTCATTTTGGGATAGTCAGGCCCACAAGTGAAGGCATCATTCTTGTCAGACTGCTTGAGGCCTTAGATGCTGTAGACCCAAGTTGAAGCAGTCTTGGGACATCCTAGACCCCTAGTCTTCATTTTCCACCCGCTCTCTCACAAAGGTGTGCCTTCTCGCACAGACAGGCCCCCGCAGCTTGCGCGTGCTGTGTGACGTGTCCGGGAAAGGCCCTGTCACCGCCTGTGACTTCGACCTCCGCAGCCTGCAGCCTGACCAGCGGCTGGAGAACCTCCTACAGCATATCAGTGTGGAGGACTTTGAGCGGCAGAATGAGGAGGCCCGGAGGACCAACCGGCAGGCCGAGCTCTTTGCCCTCTACCCGTCGGTGGACGAGGTGGGTACACGTCTCAGGCTGGGGCATGTCGGGGGAGACACCAAGAGTCGGAGGGAAAATAGTCATTCTTTAGCACCGTCTCAAAGTCCATGATGTCAAGAGGCTTAATTGTGTGATCTCTGTTGTAATGGTGTGCCATTGAGTCAATTTTGATGTATGGTGACCCCATGTAACAGAATAGATCTGCCCCCCAGAGTTTTCTAGGCTATCATCTTTACAGGAGCAGGTTGCCAGGCCTTTCTTTTGAGGCGCCTGCTGGGTGGGTTCCAACTGCCGGCCATTCAGTTAGCAGCCAAGCATAGAACTATTTGTACCACCTAGGGACCTTGTCTTTGTGCAGAGGAATACAGTGCAGGTGCAGTGGTAGTTCCAATTTAAGGGTTAGAAGTTACAGTTGTTGTTACTGCCATCTCTGATTCGTGGCAACCCTTGTACAACGTAACACAACTTTGCTTGTGATCCATAGGGTCTTCACTGGCTAATTTTCCAAAGTAGATCACCAGGCCTTTCCTCCTAGTCTGTCTTAGTATGAAAGCTCCACTGAAACCTGTCCCCCATGGGTGACCCTGCAGGTATTTGAAATATTGGTGGCCTAGCTTCCAGCATCCCAGCAACGCGCAAACCACCACGGTACGACACACTGTCAGACGGGTGGTAGAAGAGTTACAATAAGGACTTGATATAGCTCTTGAAGTCATTAGTCCCTGTGTGGCAAAATAGGCAGGCATGTCTTTTAATTTGTCATTACTAGACTTTTCTATACTTAGAATTTCAGAGAGTTCAAGTCGGGCGTGCCTATATAGAATCTGTAACTTCAACCCCAAATCTCTATCATCTATTAAAGAAAACAATGAACAGAGAAAGAGACTCTCTCATAGCATTGAAGGTTTCTAGCCTGAAGTGAACTTTTCAGAATGAGATCTCAGATACGAAACTCACATGTTTACTAGTCATGCTCACTGGCAGGAGAAATAGTCCGAATGTGTACTTGGAGCAGGCAAAAAAAAAAAAAAATCAACAATAGGTATAAGATTTTGCAATGCCATCTGGTGGATGTTACTAAGTCATATCCACTTTCCCGTTTCCTTCCTTCCTCCCTCAGTCTCTTTGTCTTAGGTGCTTGGGTTTCCGAAAGGAGAAAAGGTTTGGTATAAATGCTGGCTCAGACGGTTGGGGGTTGGAGAACAAAGTCTCTTGTAAAAGTCGGGGTGTTATTCTGACATTAGAAATAAGCAAATGCAAGTTGACTAGGGCAGTGGGGGTGGCCTTCCCTCCCCTGAGTTAAGTCCAACTGGGCACCCACCCCTCCAGGAAATTCACTCATGATCTCTTTGCAATGTGAATAATAACAGGAGGATGCTGTGGAAATACGTCCGGTACCGGAATGTCCTAAGGAACATCTGGGCAATAGAATACTGGTCAAGTTGCTGACCCTGAAGTAAGTATCAGTAACACACCAGACACAACATTGCGATTCATCTTGCCTTTTAGATACAAACTGTGTCTGTATCGTCAGAGCTTGAATGATATTATTAATTATTGTAAAATTATTATTTTGACTTATTTGTAAAATAATTTATTCTATTTCCTGTTGCTGTTCTTGAGAAAATTACCCAGCAGAACATACACTGATCCAGCCATCTGTACATGCACAGTTCCGTGACACTGATTACATTCGTCCAGTTGTGCAGCCATTCTCACCCTCCTTTTCCAAGTTGTCCCTCCTCCATTAACATAAACTCACGGCCCCCAAGCTTCCTGTCTTAACCTTTCAAGTTGCTGTTGTCAATTGAATCCCATATAGAAGATTCTTTAAAAGAACACAGATGTCAAGGCAGACATTCTGTACTAGTTAAGCTAAACTATTGTGGGGCTTTCGAAGACTTCAGGGGATAGTTTTGGTTTAGGGTTTAAGGTAAAATTATCTCAGGATGACAGCTTCAGGGGTCACCCGTCCCCCATGCCAGTGCCCTGTTAACAGTGACAGAGTGGAGAGCACGTCCTTCAGGAAGGTGACACCGTTGTCAGGCACTCTCCCTGCCCCCGCAGGATGCCCGGCCAGGCCGAGTTTAAATGCAGTGAGAACTCTGCTGTTAGGAATGGTGGAATGCTCTCCTGTGATGCTTGTCACCTGGCCTTCTAGACCTTTCCAACCAACAAGCCATGGGCAAACATGGCCCGTTAAGATACACATGTGCAATTAAAAAAAAACAAATTGACTCACTTGGATTTCTCTTAATGGAAATGGTCAAGTGCAGTTTCTAGTGATTTTTGCCCCCGACTTCCAAGAGCGAAATGAAGTAGAATTGAGGTATTGCCTAGGGCACCAGGCCTGCTGGAAAACCAGTTGCCGTAGAGTCGATTCTGACTCATGGCGACCCCACGTGGGTCTTAAATAGTGTCCATAGCCACAGTTACCTGCAGGAGGCGCGATGACCAAAGATAAGGTCCTACAACTTTGAGAAGACTGGATAAAAGAAAGAGAATTCTTATGATAAACCTAGAATGTTAAAAATATGAATAGAAAAGATTTAGCAGTAGTGTTAAAGACACACATTTTCCCATTGACGTTAATATGCAGGATTCTATTTATAATCCTATAGGTTTTATCATCAGGGAATTTTTAAAAACTCATTGAGATATATGAATGTCTGTGTTTTGCTTTTGAGAAATATCTAAAGCTTGAAGGATACAGAAAGAATTAAGCCTGGTGTGATTTTGCAAATGTTTGTAGCGGCAAGGAAAAAAAAAGACAACGAAAGTATTTTTCTAAGTTTAAGGGAGGGAGAAAGTCTTTTAATTTAAAACCTAGTGCCATCTTATGTTTGGAGGGGTCCTCTGGGTGGTGAGTCCTCAGTGTGCATAAGACTGACCCAGGGAACTTGCTTGAAATACAGGTTTGGGGAGGCCTCCCTCTGCACCCCCCGCCCCAAGAGATCCTAGTTCACTTAGGTCCTGGGTGCAAACCAAGACACTGCCTTTGACAAACTCTTTGGGAGTTAGTCCCAAGAATTTATTGGAAGAATGTACCATCCATCATGATCTCAACTGATGATGAATTTTCCATGAGCCTCCTATATTTCTTAACCAATATCCCAGTAAAAAAAACAAACCCACTGCCATCGAATCAACTCCCTGGTGGTGCAATGGTTAAACTATTCAGCTGCGTTAGGTCAGCAGTAAGAACCCACCAGCTGCTCCTGGGAGAAAGATGTGGTAGTCGGTTTCCGTAAAGAGTACAGCCTTGGAAACCGTATGGGGCAGTTCTACTCAATATGCCAATGTGATTCTCACAGAGCCCTGGTGGTGCAGTGGTTAAGCCTTTGGCTGCTAATCAAAAGGTTGGCAGTTCAAATCCACCAGCTGTTCCTTGGAAACCCTATGGGGCAGTTCTACTCTGTCCTATAGGGTTGCTATGAGTCAGAATCGACTCAATGGCAGTGGGTTTGGTTTGTTTATTTTGTGATCCTCACATGCATGGAGTTATCCAGACACGTCTGCATTTTTAACCATTTCCTATGTCCAGGTACTTTCAGAAAACTCAAAATTAGCGGAGTTAGAACCTTATTTCTCTCTTTCTGTCCCAGGTTTGAGATTGAAGTTGAGCCTCTGTTTGCCAGCATTGCCCTCTATGACGTTAAGGAAAGGAGAAAGGTAAGCACCCATAGCCCTGAAAGAGCCAGAGAATAGCCCATCTGCGAGGTACACAGACCATCCGTGATTCTCGGCTTCCTGTTTGTAAATCTCACTTCTGTGCAGCGAAACATCTCAGATTTGAAAGCACATGACCTTTGATGGGTCCAGTTCTGTTGCCTTTGCAATTTTTGAGCGGATGATCTGGGCACGTGGGTCACGTATGTTCTTTGCAGAATCTTTAAGGGAAAGATCGGCTGGAGGTGGTGGCTGGGTTGGGATACGGAGAGAAATGAAACAGTTGTCACATGGGGTCTTGGGCGTAAACAAAGCAGTTTAAATACCTTTTTGACAAGCTGGGGTATGCACGGAATGTTTCCTCACCTTGAGTGCGTTTTGCACTGTGAAATAAGCTCATCGTTAATGCAAAGCATCTTGGTGGTAAAGATCTTCATCCGCCACTGGTGAAGACCTCAGCAAGCGTAATGTGCTTTTAAGTGAAAAGGATTCAGTGACCCATGAATCCTTTTGGGTGTTTTTGTGGTTAGTCATTTTGTAACACTTAAAGAGGAAGACCCTTGACGAGATGGACTGACACAGTGGCCGCAACAACGGGCTCCAACATGGCAACGATAGTGAGCCTGGTGCAGGACCGGGCGGTGTTTCGTTCTGTTGGACATGGGGTCGCTGTGAGTTAGAAGTGAGTCAACAGCAAATGACAACAACAAAGGAGAAAAAACAGCAAAACCAGAGCTGGATGTTTCAGCCCCTCTTTACCCATCGCCATTGTGGATTTACGGAAACACGTGTCTCTTGAGTGAATATTAAAAACCACTGAGATTCCTATTAGGGTAGGCTGATGGCTGTAACAAACAGACCCCCGAATTCGGCGGTTTAAAGCAGTGATTCTCAAACTGTAACACATATCAGAATACCGTATGTTGTCGTTGGGTGCCGTCAAGTCGATTCTGACTCATAGCGACCCCATGTGACAGAGCAGAACTGCCCCATAGGGTTTTCTAGGCTGTGATCTTTACAAGAGCAGATTGCCAGGTCTTTCTCCCTCAGAGCCACTGGATGGATTTGAACTGCCAGCTTTTTGGTTAGCAGCTAGTTAGCCACAGAGCTCTTAACTGTTGCACCACCAGGGCCCCTCAGAATACTTTGTGTGTACATACATATATATATATGTGTGTGTATATATATAAAACCCCGTTGCCATTGAATCAATTCCGACTCACAGCGACCCTATAGGACAGAGTAGAACTGCCCCATAGAGTTTTCAAAGAGCTCTACAGTGGATTTGAACCACTAACCTTTTGGCTAGCAGCCCGAGCTCTTACCCACTGCACCACCAGGGCTCCGAATACCCGATAGGGCTTAGTAAATCACAGATTGCTGGGCCTCACCTGCAGAGTTCTTGATTCAGCAGGTCTGAGTCCCTGGGTGGTGCAAACCGGTAAGCACTTGACTCCTAACCTAAAGTTTGGCAGTTCAAACCCGCCCAGAGGCCCCTCGGAAGGAAGGCCTGGTGATCTGCTTCTGGAAGATCACACCTTTGAAAACCTTGTGGAGTGCAGTGCTGCCCTGACACACATGGGGTTGCTGGGAGTTGGAATCAACTCCATGGCAACTGGTTTGGCTGGTTTTGGTCTGGGTGGGGCCTGGGAATCTATGTTTCTAGCAAGCTCTCAAGTGATGTTGATGCTGCTGGTCTGGGCTTTTGCTTACAGAACAAGAAGTTTCTGTCTTTGTTCTTTGACCTCGTTGGCACTCAGGAAATACTGGCTGGAGAATAAAAATTTAAATGTTTCGGGGAGTATCTCTCAAATAGCTTTCACGTGTCTAGAAATTGTGGCAAAATACCAGATTTTCTAGCAGCAGCTCAGCATACACCATGTCCTTAATTACACCCATTCCTCGGTTGAAATGTTTTTGTGTTTTCTGTACTCCTTTTTCTCCCCCATGTTTAGACCATGAGGACAGCAGTTCTGACTTACTGTGCACTTTGCTGCTCGTTTACAGATCTCAGAAAATTTCCACTGTGACCTGAACTCGGACCAGTTCAAAGGTTTTCTGCGAGCTCACACCCCCTCAGTGGCCGCTTCGAGCCAGGCGAGATCTGCAGTGTTCTCTGTCACCTACCCCTCCTCAGACATCTACCTGGTCGTCAAGGTAGTGAAACACCATCTGAGTTGTATATTCTCATGCTCGCATGGCCGCGTCATCTCTAGCTCGTGTTTGGGGTGAGAGAGACATCAGACAGTGCCTGCTTGTCTTCTGTGAGGTTCTATTTGTTTCCTTCTCAACTGCCCTCTTTCCTCCCCAATACGAGAAAATTCTGTGCCAGATGCTGGAAAGACAGTGCATTTTGGACTCACTCAGCCCTAGGTTTGAATCCCAGTTTTGCAACTTAGTAGTGATATGACTTTGGGCAATTACCTAACCTTTCTGAGACTTAGTTTCCTCATCTGTAAAATGGGGGTAATAACACCGATCTCAAAGAGTAGTTGTGGAGAAATTGGAACCTTCTCATCCATTGCTGGTGGGAATGTAAAATGGTGTAGCTGCTGTGGAAAACAGTTTGGCGGTTCCTCAAAAAGTTAAAACATAGAATCGCCATTTAAAAAAAAAAAAACCAAACCCATTGCCATCAAGTCGATTCCGACTCATAGAGACCTTATAGGACAGAGCATAACTGCCCCATAGGGTTTCTAAGGAGTGGTTGGTGGATTCAAACTGCCAGCCTTTTGGTTAGCAGCCCAGCTTTTAACCACTGCGCCACTAGGGCTCCAGAATCACCCTATGACCCAGCAATTCCGCTGCTAGGTCGATACCAAACCAATCAAAAACAGAGACTCAAACAGGTTCTTGGACACCCATGTTCGCTGCAGCACTATTCGTGGTAGCCAAAAGGCAGAAACAGCGTAAGTGTCCTTCAGCAGATAAATGGATAAACAAAATGGGATGCATGTGGACAATGGAACCTTATTCATCCATAAAGAGACATGAAGTCCCAGTACATTTAGGACATGGATGAACCTTGAAAACATTACGTTGAGTGAAATCAGCCAGACTCAGGAGAACAAATATCGTATGTGACCACTTACATGAAATATCTAGAATAGACAAGTGTATAGAGACCAAAGTTTACTAGTGCTACAGGGGCAGGAGGGAGGGAGAAAGGGGAGTTGTGGTGGAAGAAACACTGAGGGTCTGTTGTTAATGGTGATTAAAAGATAATCTGGAAATGGATAGTGGTGATGGCTGCACAAATGGGGAACATAATTAACACCACTGAATGATACACGAAGAAAGATGGAAATAGCAAATGTTTTGTTATATATGTTTTTACCACAATAAAAAAAAGTCTCAAGAAAAAAAATGTATCAATATAGAGAATACCAAACCAAAGCAAATCTGTTGCCTTCGAGTCAATTCCAAGTCAAAGCGACCCTATAGCAACCCTATAGGACAGAATAGAACTGCCCCACAGGGTTTCCAAGGCTGTGATCTTTACAGAGCGCTTAACCACTGCACCACTAGGGCTCCAAATATAGAGAATAGGAGTGATAAAGCAAATGGGAGAAAATGTTAGCAATTAGTGAATAAACAAGCTATTCTTACAACTACTCCAAAGTCTGAGATTATTTTAAAGTAAGAAGTTAAAAAAAACTTGCCAGGTGATTCTGACGTGACTCTAAGGAAGAACACGCGTTTCAGCAGACACGCCTTTTACACGTAAACCTTGGAGGATGTATGGGGGCTCTTGGATCAGCTGCAGCTCCTCAGGAAGTACCTGGGTCACCCGCCCAACGCAGTGAAGGGAGTAGTGTCTGCTGGTCTGGTGGGATCTAGACTCTTCTCTTCCAGATCCTGGGGACCCCTCTCCTCTGGGTTCCTCACTACACACTAGGAGTCCTCCAAGCCACGGCCTTCCCATTTCTTGCTTCAAGGTCCTGGTTAGAAAGTTCCTAGCCTCTGTTCAGAGTTCGTTTTTAAAGACCATGTCTTTACCTATTGACATCGTGGAAAACTGAGCTTCCCTCCGACTTGCTCTACAAGCTCCTTGACCACGAGCCTCAGGAGAAGAGGACCGTGTTCATCTTGTTTACCTGCTTCTCTCCTCAGCAGCTACCACACAATTTTCAAATGAGTGAGTGAGTGAATGGTGCTGACTAGCGGGGATATTGGGGAGTCTCTAGCTCAAGTAAGGGGCCCTGGTGACGCAATGGTTAGGTGCTTGGCTGCTGACTAAAAGGTCAGAGGTTCGAACCCACCAGCCACTCCACGGAGAAAAGACCTGGCAGTCGGCTCCTGTAAAGATTACAGCCTTGGAAACCCTATGGGGCAGTTGTGCTCTGTCATACGGGGTCGCTCTGAGTCGGAATCAACTTGACGGCAATGGATTTTTTGGTGGGCTAGCTCCAAGGCTATGTGTCGGTTCTCAACTGGGTGTGTATCTCGGGGGTGGGGGCTGGGGGGTCAGCCTTCTCTTCATGCTGTGACAATGGGAGGTGAATTCCATGTCTGTTCTGAGGAGATCCTTCCTTCTGGAGTCCTCCCTGAAGTTGATGTCCACTGAGTAGCCCCATGCTCTGTT